GCAAAACGGGACGATCGGACTCCCTCCGTGCGTGCATAACCCACTCTCACCCACCACCAGCCTTTCCCACTCAGTGCGCTTCTCTTCTCCGCCGCACCCGCCCTCCACTCCATTCCCCACAAACGCAGCCACTCACACAAGCGTCACAGGGCTGGGCTTGGCGGCAGGAGCAGCAGCGCGCGCAGGAACGAACGCCGCGGCGGAACCGTTGGACGGGAGGGGGGCGGAGGCGGCGGGGTAGGCGGAGGGCGCGGAGGCGGAAGCAGAGGCAACGGGCACAGAACTGGGGAGAGATGGTGTCGCGGCTCTGCAGTGGGATAGGGGCGGGGAGAAGAGTGGTTGAGAACTTTAGAGAAACAACAGCATAAAAAAAGTGGGAGCAGGGAGCCGAGAGGGTGGAAGGCGGGCAGGGCAGAGGTGACGATAGACGTTGCTGAATGCAAAGCTTTAATACCAAGGGCGCGAGAGGAGGGGGAACAAAAAGGATCGACCTACTGCACCAAGTATAATCAAGCAGCAGCCGCCAAAGCTTCCCCAATAATCACACCTCTCCATTCCACCTTGCAGCTTTCAGATCCAAACCCGCCCAAGACGATACCCCACACACAACAACCTTCAGCCGCCCATGATCCTCCAAGCAGCAGCAGCAGCAGCAGCAGCAGCAGCAGCAGCAGCAGCAGCAGTGACTCACACGAGTGCCGCAATGAGCTCTTCCTTGGTGTTCCCCCGGAGCCCTTTTTGCCGCGCCATGGCGCGCAGGGCCGCCAAGGGCGTCGCCAACAGCCGTTTCTCCAGGCCCTGCGCTTCCTCCTCCGCTGGCGCTGCCGCTACCGCCGCTTGGGGGGCGCTGGCGGGCTGCGCGGACGCGGCGGAGGCGGGCTGTGAGGCGGACGACGAGCTCACATCAGCGGCGCGGCTGGCGGAGGAAGGGACGAGAAGAAGCGGGAGTGAAGGAAAGAGACACGACAGGCGGGTGAATTGGGACGCATTCAGGGTTGCGTGCACTCGGAGTAAACAAAAAGGAAACCCGCAAGCAGAGGCGGAAATAAGGAGTCTCATGATGTAGCTGATGATGCAGGAGGACATAAGGAACCATGTCGATGGATACCGTTTCGGCATTGTGAATAAGCAATTAGCTGTAGAGTGGCAGTTTCGTGATTGTAATCCACTCACAGCAGATCGGAGACGAGGTCCGCCTTAGAGCTGCCGCCAGAGATGCCCCGTGCGCGAGCCATGGCGCGCAGTTGCGACAGTGGTAGCGCCTCCAGCTGCCGCCGCTGCTGCTGATCTGCTGATCCCGCCACTGGCGCAGACGTTGCCACCGCTGCCGCAACAAGCGCCGCTCCTCGGGGAGGCACGCGCACCGCTTGTGACGGTGAAGGCCTGAGGGAGCAATGATGAGAGGAATGATGAAACAAACGAATGGATACCGTGAGCCATGACGGTCAAATCAATCGAAGTGTATCGCACATTGTGGCTTTAAGGTGGAAAGTATCAACAGCGCTTTGGGACAACGACTGAGGTGAACAGTGCAGCCTTCGTCAAGGATCGTAGAAGTGGTTGACAGCGAGCACGGAGAGATGGCAATCAGTGCGGAGGACAGTAGCAATAACGTACCTTAAAACATCTCGTCTCGCAATGCTGGGCGAGCCTGTGCCAGTGACTGCTGGAGAGGCGAAGGAAAGGCCGCTGGACGCCTGAGACACAAGGAAAAGAGGGGAAAGGCCGGCATTACGGTTAGAAGTCGGTACAATGGTCAAGCGAAAACCGTTTGTTCGGAAATCGTTAACAGGTGTAAAGAAGGTTGGGTTGTGACAACTACTCGATCCAAAAAACAACTCTGGCATCGGCAATCTGAACTGTGACTCCGAGACTAGAAGCAGCAGTATTTATGGGAATCAACAAATACGACATGCGTCTCGCGACTGCCACCGCAATCATCAACACAAAAGCGGCCGTGAAACAAAGAGCGTACCGCAGCCAGTGATGAGCACGCCATTGCGTTGTCGAATGGATAAACCACCAGGAGTGAAGCAACCAGCAAAATGTTAAGGAGCCTCCAACAAAATAGTAGGCGGAGGTATAAGGAGTGTGGACGATGAACAACACTCGCAAGCAGCTAGCTATGGTAGCTGCAAAGATGGTGAAGAAGGATCTGCAGTTGTGGCTATACCATTGTACCTTTTTGAGGTGATGGGGAGAATAAAAAGTGGTGTTGAAGTGATGAAACCGTTGATCTCTATGCTGTGTCAGCCTGCTTCGGCAGCTACCTTGGCTGGTTCGGACGAGCCAAGGCCAGGCGCCACGGTTTTGGTATGGTGGGAATCATGCGCAACTGGCCTGCAGATTAGGGTCGGTGTGACATGTGAGAGCGGTTTCTGGATAAAAGGCTGCGACGAACCTGGGGAACGATGGGGAGGTTGAGGTGCAACCTGTTCGGAAAACGTGCGGTGACAGACAAAGGCGCAAGCTTGCTCCCACCGAGGCTGGTGACAAGCCACGTGGGTGCTTACTTGGAACCCAATGTGTGCTGCAAGCAGGGAGGGAGATGCGATTGATAGTTTTTGTGGCTGATATGGAGCCACTGACAAGCTGCTAGCCGGTGATACTACCCACTGTATGGGTCACGGTCCGTCGAGGAGAAGCATTTGACCAATAGGGGTGATAATAAATCAACGGAGGGCTGGTTGAATGACGTCCGGCAGCTTGCGTGGATCTGGCGACCCTTGTGGAGCCAACATGTCCTCGTCTTCGTCGTTTGCCTGTCCACCGTGGCAGGCGTTTGTGTGAGCGAGTTTCGGAGAACAAAAAACAGAAACGAAAGATGCTGGTAACCACATGTATGTCCATCGAGAAGTACGAAGTGCGGTGTACCACAGCACCACGACTTCACATACTATTAACTTACCTATGCATCAATTCATATTGATTAAAGGTACAAAATGTGCTACTTATATGGATGATGCTTTCTCCAGGTTAGCCCTGATTCAGGCCAGGTGAATCAATTTTCTCCTAATGGGATCCAGGCCAGCACTAGCAGTTGTCTCATGAGAAGAATGATCCACCTTTAGCCTGACCCAAGATCCTGACTTGGGAATTTCTACATAGATAAGCAGCTCACCACTGTGTGAGGACATCCAACTTCTTAGTCGTAGGCTGGAGATCTCTTTCTTGGCGTAGGTTACAATGAAATGCCTTTCGGTAAATACATAGTATATTGCAACACTACATCATTTACTTGACGGGGTAGGGCAGGTCCAGAACGTAGAGCAGGATGTATGCCCAGGCAACACCAGACAGGCCACCGAAGAAGAAGCCGCCAGCGAACGAAGCCCAGCCGTCAGCAGTCTGCACATCATAACCAAGCAGAGTTATTTCTCCGTAAAAAACATGCTGGTGAATTAAACGAAGAAAATTCGATTTACCTGGAGCTTGTCAGCCTCCTTCGTGCGGCCGCTGAGGGTCAGCGTGGAGCCGGTGGAAGGAGCGCCCTCCTTGAACGAGGCAATGCCGTACACAGTCAGGCACATGGACAGGATGGCGACAAGAGCAGCAGCTCCGAGGGTGCCTGCGACTTGGCCAACCTCAGTGCCGCGAAGAGGACCAGTCTGCACGTAGCCACGTAATTAACAGAGAATATATTAAAATACAGGAGGTGGACTACGCCCGAAACTACCATGTTAACATCAAACCAGCACGCCAACTTACGCAGACGAAGGGGCCGACGAGGAGGTAGCCGTGGGCAAGGCCGACCTCGACACCGCGGAGGAGGGGGTTCACACCAGTGCGGTAGCCGGGGAGGTTGGACAGGAACCAGGCGACAAGGGGAGCAGAGGTCACGGGGGTCTCGAGGCCACCGACGAAGGGGTCGCCATTGAGGGGCTCAATGACCTGGTAGTTGGTCTCAGCCTTGACGGCCAGGGACCTCACCACGGGGGCGGCGCGGCGGGCAACGGGTGCCAGACCAGCAACGTTGCCGAAGAAGGCCCTCTTGGTCTGCGCCTTGGTCAAGGCAGCAGCAGGGGCGGCGAGGATAGCACGGCTAGCAACGGCGGCGGCCATGGCTGCTGGAGGAGTGAAGTTGCTGGTACTGGATTCCTGTGGTCCTGTTAGTGAACTCCTTCCTTGGCACTTGGTGCTGTGTGTGTATATTGAGTGACCCTGTTTGGAGGGGGGAGGGACCAGTGCTTGGGGTGGGGGAATCACTGGCGGAAGATTTCCTCACCTTGCGTGGTTAGTGGGGGGGTCATTATGCTGATTCGACACTGCCTTATCCGGAGCACGGATCTCGCCGCCAATGCGAAATTCGCTGAACGAATCAGGCGCACCGTCCCCACCAATCCCTTCGTTTCTTGCTTTCGAGAAGTACTTGGAAGGGCTCCCATTCACGCAACTATATCGAAATTGGTTTCCAAGTTTTTATTCAAAACACCTACCAGTTATATTCATCAGCAGCCTATATGAATGATTCTAATATATTTCCATCTTATCCCATATCTGTTCGTTATAGTTTCAAACAATAATATTGTTTTTAGAGATTTAGGATGTTTGTTTCTTTCATTTATTTCGGAGGTATGTTTGTTGATAATGAAGGGACAATACTATGTCGTAAGATGGGAAAACAGGTCGAAGAGATCCGTGACGGAGCGCTCGTCTAATACAGAAAGCGGGACAGCGTGTCAGAAAGTTGGCGTTGCCTCTCCGTACCACATTTGTATCTGGTGCGTTACGGTTCAAAACGGTAGAGTGGTATCATGGTACAACAGTACTACCCCTGAGATGATCCACCTCCAGGCCAGGTTCAGGAGGCTTGCTCTTTGGTCAATAATTCCAGCCTCCATTGCTGCCGCCGCCGATCCATTCCCAGAAACGTCTGTCGGACGGCGATTGAAAAAAATAATCTCGAGGATTTCTCGGCGAATAACCAGCGCGCCCTGGTGCACGACACCACATCTCAACGAAGCTCGACGAATTCACGAGCCGTTTTCGCGAAAGTCCACATGCCTCGCAGTGTCACCGTGGCTGCCGTTCAGTTCGCCTGCACGGACGATGAGACTCAGAATCTGCAAACCGCAGAGAGGTAAGGATTCAGAACCCGCTAGCCCTCTCCTCCTCCCCTCTCTTTTCACCCTCTCCTTTCATCCGCTCCGCCTCCGTCCGCCTCCCCCTCCCCGTCCTCCCCCCACAGCTGCTCCGCTTCCCCCCCCCCCCCACCCCCCCCCCCCCCTTGTTTTCCCCTCGCTACGTAACTTCCTGCTTCCCCTCGCGCTTGTCCTCTCCCCGTGTCCGCCCTTCCCCTACTCCGCCGCCTCCCTCCGCGGGTTCTCCCAGGCTGATCCGTGAAGCCCATGCGCGTGGGGCCAACGTCATCCTGCTGCAGGTACGCTGGGGCCGCGGGAGTGGTATGTACAGGCGAGTATGTGAGTCATGCATGCATCAGTGGACAGGCAGCAGCACATGCACTTTTTGAGTCGACTCAAAAATCGTCTGATCTGTGAGGCCCATGCGCGTGGCGCCAACATCATCCTGCTGCAGGTATGCTGGGGCCGCGGAGGTATATGAGCATGCTAGTATGTGTGAGAGCAGGCAAGTGTGTGTGGACAGGCAAGTACGTGTGGTCACACTAGCAGCACAAGCACGTGGCTTCACTTCACCACTATCCTCTTCACCGAAAGCACTTCCTTCTTTTTTCAGATCCTTTCCTCCCTCCGCTACTCCCTTCGTTCTTTTTCACCCTCCCACCCCTTGCCCCCCCTCCCCTCCCCTCCTTCCCGCTTCTCCCCACCTCCGCAGGAGCTCTTTTCCGGGTTCTACTTCTGCCAGGCGCAGTGTGCGACCAACTTCCAGCGAGCCCGGCCCCGCCACAGCCACCCTGCCATTACCAGGTAACTGCCTAGCATTACGGACGGATCGACCTATGGTGGTGCTCAGGTGTGAAGCGGAGGGCTCTGTATGCTCACAACCAACCACCCTGCCATTACCAGGTAATGTCTGGTAATGCCTGGCAGAACGAACGGACGGACCTATGGCAGTGCGCAGGTGTGTAGCTGAGGGTACCGGTACCGTCGTTTTGCTGTGGTTTTGAGTCGCGGTAGTTTAAAGCCGAGGTGAATGCTACGGGAGGTATGGTAGCTAGTGTAGTGTAGCTGTACACTCTCTTTGGTGACTAAGGCAGGCGAGGCTAGCAGTAGGGAATGCCCGATATTTGCACTTTAAAATCCCTCCATGCTCGTAAGTTTCGTATTGCCCAAGCCACTACCCGTGCATCTGGCATTCTCAACCGCTTTCCCAACCCATACTCCCGTTCACCACTTCTCCCTGGGTTCCCTCCCGCTTGCTTGATCCCGCTCAAGTCTAGGATGCAGCAGCTTGCAGCAGAGCTGCAGGTCGTGCTTTGAGGTGCCTCGAAACCAGACGCCCCCAAATTCAAGGCACCTCAAAACCGTTCACCACTTCTCTTCTCCCTGGGTCCCCTCCCGCTTGCTTGGTCCCGCTCAAGTCTAGGATGCAGCAGCTTGCAAGAGAGCTGCAGGTCTTGCTGCCTGTGAGCTTCTTTGAGCGCAGTGGAGGGGAGCCGGAGAACAGTGCTGGTGGCGGCGGCGGTATTTCCGGTGGTGGTGGCGGTGGCGGTGTGGCGCATTTCAATTCGCTGGTGGTGATTGATGCTGATGGGAAGGACCTTGGAGTGTACCGCAAGTCACACATTCCAGATGGACCCGGTGCGTGCTCCCATACACGCGAACGCGCACACAGACACACGCACGCACGCACGCACATGGTTCATTGCACCCTGAGCAATTTGCCTCTAGAGCTGCTGCCGTTGCCCCTCCAATCACCTCGCCTGTGCGCATGGTTCGCTCCATCCATCCGTCATTGTGTGTGTGCGTGCAGGGTACCAAGAGAAGTTCTACTTCTCACCAGGGGACTCGGGTTTCAAAGTGAGACATGGACCACTCTAGTCAGCACCACACTTGTCTTGTCAGCACCACACTGGTCAGCACCACCAGTCTAGGCAGCACGCAATCAGGCTGCACTAAACAGCCGTTTACTCATAGCCACACCGTAGCATCAGTCACTGTGTAAGACCCCAAGTGCAAATCGCAGCTCCAGCAGTTCTTGCCGCCTTCCTCTGCGCTTGGTTTCTTGATCTTGTCTCACTCGTGCACTCTTTTCTCCCCCTCTGACATCCATCTCCCTTGTGCCCGACGCAGGTGTTCAAGACACGCTACGCTGCCATTGGCTGTGGTATATATGTGTGTATGCATGTGTGTAAGTATGTAACTATGTATGTATGTAACTATGTATGTGCCATTGCTCTTGTCCTATTCATGAGGCGCCTCACAGAATGTATGTATGCCCGTCTGCAACGGAGCAACGAGATTTCGAGAGCAGATTTATCCTATTACCACTGCTCTCGTCTTTCCCGTTGCTCAATGCTGCTACGTACACTGCTTCTCGTTGCGGTCGTGCCGATCCCCCCTCTCATTTCAACCCCCTCTTTCCCATTCCGAACCCCTCTCTCCCATTCCGAACCCCTCTCTTTCATTCCGAACCCCTCTCTCCCATTCCGAACCCCTCTCTTTCATTCCGAACCCCTCTCTCCCATTCCAAACCCCTCTCCCCCATTCCCACCCATCTCTCACATTCTAATCCGTATCTCAAATCCCATCCAACCTCTCCCGTTCCAACCACCCTCCCTTCCGATCTTCCCAACACTCCTCTCCATTCCCAATCCCCTCCCTGCTCCCACTCCAAGGCATCTGCTGGGACCAATGGTTCCCTGAGGCAGCGCGGGTGAGAGCGCTCAAGGGAGCGGAGCTGCTGCGGCGCCTCAAAATAGTCCCCCCCACCCCTTCCCCTCCCCACCCACGCAAAGGCATCTGCTGGGACCAGTGGTTTCCGGAAGCAGCGCGGGTGATGGCGCTCAAGGGAGCGGAGCTGCTGCTGTACCCCACAGCCATCGGCTCGGAGCCTCACGACGCCTCCATTGACTCGCAACCCCACTGGACCACCGTCATGCGCGGCCATGCTGCTGCCAACCTGGTCAGTGCCAGTGCTTGACTTGACTCTCTCCAGAATTTTCTTTGTTTCTGAAATTTGAGAACTGTGTATAGTGAGTTGATTGACTCGCAACCCCACTGGACCACCGTCATGCGCGGCCATGCTGCTGCCAACCTGGTCAGTCAGTGCTTGCCTCCTTGGAATTCTCAAGTGCAGTGGGATGCAGAGTGTGAGCTGATATGCTATGCCGCAAGCGATATGTTTCCCGTGCCTGTTTGCTATTCGCAGACTTGTGGATTTCTTAGTCCCGCTGCTGCCCTCTTCTCTCGCTCTCTCTCCTTCCTTCTCTCTCGTGGGCGCGCACGATGACATCTTTCCATCCGGCAATGAGACGAGCCCGGGCATACCATACCGCCCTTCCTTCCTTTCTCGTCCCCACTCCCCACTCCCCACTCCCCACTCCCCACTCCCCACTCTGCACTCCCCACTCCCCACTCCCCACTCCGCACTCCCCACTCCCCATCTGTGTGGATCCACTGTGCCGGTCGGTCACAGATGCCTGTCATCGCATCCAACCGCATTGGCACGGAGACCATTTCAACTGAGCGCGGCCCCAGCACCATTACTTTCTACGGCTCCTCCTTCATCACAGGTCCGTGATCCTCATTCCTCCCTTGTTCCTCAAAGGATCGTTCTGTGCTGTTGGATCAATGCATCTATGCGTCAAACCGGAAATATAAATAACAATTTGAGGACAACTTATAGGTGACTCTGGAGCAACCTTGTATGTTCCAACCAACACCCATGGCATTATAATTCAGTACTATCGTAACCATAGTCTTATTTGTGAACTCTGTTTCAGGGCCAACTGGGGAGATTTTGCAGCAGGCAGGGCGGCAGGAGGAGGCAGTATTGGTGCACTCGTTTGACCTGGATGTATTGTGGCAACAGCGCATTGGGTGGGGTATCTTCCGGGATCGACGCCCTGACCTCTATTCACCGTTGCTCTCACTGGACGGATCATCGTGATCTCCTTGTGTAATACTGGTAATTATATTTGTCCCCTTTGCAATAAACGCATCCCAGCTGGCCAATGGCTGCGTGACAGAAGTGTTCATTTCTAGTTGGAATGCCTACTACCGGTACCACGTACGGTACCTCGTGCACTGCGTTATGGATGGATTCTTTAGTTAAGAGTAGCATTTGCATCTGCAACATACTATTTCCTTGTACCGTATGTGGTATACTCCATTTGCTATAAATGCATTGCTCTTGGTCCCTGTCAATGTTGTGTAGACACTCAAGGGTATGGGGTGTGCTAAGAGAAAGGAATTAGAGTTATCAAGGTGCGTTCAGGGCCATGCCCACAAGCAATTCCTGCAAAATACAATAATGTTGCTGCATCCGTTAGTAGCGCGGATAGCATCTTGCCGAATCGAGGGAGGCGGAGGGGCGCCTGTACAGTTGTGTTCAGCTGTGCGATACGGTGGCAAGGCAGCCAGTGATGGCTACAGCACCGAGGAACTCGGGGCGCGGTGCGGTCACATTCAAAGCTCCATTGCGGACGGATGGCTTCATTTGCGCAAGAAAGTTGGAGAAACACGCGAGGTTTTCGCTCTCACCGCTTGCTTGCGCTTTGTCCCGAATGCGGCGCAATCTCTTTCCGCCACGCAGTCGGTTCGCGCAAAGTTGATATTTCCCCGCAGAAAAAAGTTGAAGGAAATCACAGCCATCCCCGCACCTGCCTTGCCCCACCAGCGCTGTCGGTGGTGGGGAAAAATCCCTCAAAACCTTCCCCCATCCATAGTAAAATCCCTCAACCCCGCCTTCCCCTCATCTGCAACCCCACCACACCACACCCATTCCATCCCCCCCCCTCCCGCTCCCCTCTCTATTCACGTTTGACCTGATGGGGGGACATTCGGTTGAAAAACGTTACGAGACAAAACGCATCGGTAACCTTCGGCATCCAGACCAAGGCTGGTGCGGGGCTGGCCCTCGGCTTTCTCGAAGGGCATCAAGGATCAAGGGCGGCGTCGAAGTGGCATCAAAGTGCTTCCCCACCTTTTCACCAAAGCCCTGGTTGAACACTTCACTCAGGTAAGTATGCGCCCCTCCCCCCCCCCACTTCCCCCCCCGGTGCTGTAATTCCTCCCCCCCTCCACCAATTTCGGATTTCACATTTGATGGTTGGTTCAATCAAGCACATTTGGTCAGTAGGAACCACAAGCTGGTAGCTTCAACGGCTCCTGTGAAGGATTGGCCTAACCAACCATAGCCAGCATCACGAGATCTTGCTCTTATTCCCCTGGCATGGGCCTGCTAAACCGATAAGCGTGTCAAATCTCCCGATTTCCACAGCAGGTGGAATATTTATTGGTGCCATTAATCAGGCTGACAGCCACTGGTGGAATAGTTGTGGATCCACCAAGCACTGGTTGCACCGCCATGGATTTCGTGTCGCCGCGTCGTGCGTTGACAATCTTAACGTTCGTTGTGGTACTCGCGGGTGCGGCGGTGGCGCAAGAGTACTGCTTCCCTTCCGACTATGCGCGTCTATCCACAGCATGTGAGAGCCCCCCTGTCCGCAATTTCTTCTGACTTAATTAAGAGGTGTTTAAATGTGACTTACGGCTGGGCTTTTCGTTACCAGGGACATCAGATCATTTTGTCCACCCACCCCGTCCTTTGCTCTTGTCCTCGTCCTCCTTCTTGGTATCACTGCGCATCGCTTTGCCAGGTCCCAAAGGGCATTGAATCTGGTTAGGTTATCTTGGTCATCATCTCAGTCATTACACGAAATATTTGTGTAAAGAATGATCTAGATCATCATGGCGGTCCGTGTCAGAAATCTGAGACTTTTGAGACGTCTCAAAAGAACTATTTATAATTAACATGGTGGTCCGTGTCCGAAATTTCCCGACCAGCCGGCATCATGCATTCTAAGCTCTCGTTTTTCGGCGTTTGTTCGAGTTTTTGCTGGGTTCTCGCAACGACAAATCATTGACATCACCAATCGCACCTTTGAGTCGCCGCGCTGGTCTGGACAGATTCCAATCGGACCCCCTCGTTCTCGCCTTGATAATTACAAAATATATTAAAAATTCGCGGCATTTTTTATTCCGTTGTCTTCTCGGAGCAGGCACGGGAAGTACACGTCAGGTGGAGTACAAGAAGGTTCGCGACTGTAAAGACCCCTTTCCTATCCAAGAGATCCACGACGAGCCCTGCAGTAAGTCCACCTTTTTATTGTCGCATCTGGTGTCGCATCTTGTCGCGTCTGTGTCGCATCTTGTCGCGTCTGTGTCGCAGTTCCGATCGCACATTTCCTGCGAATTGTCGCATATTTTCGTAAATTGTCGTCTTTTCATCTTGTGGTAATTCGCTCCAACCAGCGTTTCGGTCCGTCCTGCTTGCGTACCATCCCGTTTGATCTGAGCTCTTATCGCCCGAGTGGTCCGATTTGACCGTTTTCTCTGCTGATCCGCGTGTGTGGCTCCTCTGCGATTTCACGGGCTTTGCTTTGCTCGCTCGCAACGGGTTGAGGTCATGGTCGATGGTGGATGGTGGACTAATGTGGTGCGGTCTGATGTGCTCCGGTTGGTGTGGTTTGTGGGTTGCGTGTATACGTCCTGAATGTTTGGGGTTGGTGATTGGGACTGGCTGGCAGCATGTACGCCTGAGGACTACACTCTCCAGTACAAGACCACGCCTGGACCGAACTGCACCGAGGAGTTTGTTCCAAACGCAGGTATCCTTTCACCGCCCTCCAGTACTGTCGCCTCTCCGGGTTCCTCTTCCTCCCTTCCTCCACTTTCCTTTCCGCTTTGTCTACCCTCCCCTCCTTCCCCTACAATAACACCCCTCTTCCTCCCGTTTCTTCGTCGCCTCTTCCTCTTTCGCGTTTGCTGAAACGCACGCACGAAACCTGCCCTGACGCAGGGCACGGAATGAAACAACTAACCTACCCACACACCATCCAGTATTAGTAGCAATAAACTTAACATTCTTGGTCAACCGCCCATACCATGTGCTGGCTCGCGGCTTGCGCCTCCTCTCAATTTAACCGCCTACTCATAAACCCTGGATTAGCTTGGGAAGGACTTGAGCGGCGGGGAGGTGTGTTGGTGCACTTATTGCACCAACACATGCAAGTTCCAATCTTGGTTCCCCTTTTGACCCCCTCCCTCCCCTCCTCCTCTCCCTCCCTCCCTCCCTCCCTCCCTCCCTCCCTCTCTCCCTCCCTCCCTCCCCGAACATCCTCTCTGTGTGTGCGCGCGCGTTGCGTGCGTGCGTGTGTGTGTGCGCGCGCGCGTGCGCGTGTCCATGCATGCGTGTGTGTGCGTGCGCGTGTGTGTCTATCAGGGTGCTCCAGTGGTTCTGTAACGGGCAAGGTCAGCGTCAATCCCTTCTTCTGCGGTAAGCCCCTCCCCTCCGCTGCTCCGCGACTCGCATGCACCACACACCTCTCGTCGAGCTCAACGCACCCAGTGCCATCTCGAAGCTCCCAGTGTTGCTCATTGCTTTCTCTCACCTCCCTCTGCTCACTAGCCTCTTCTCGTCACCTCCTTTCCCCCGTCTCACTCCCCGGTATCCCCTCCCTCCCTACCTCCCTCCCTCCCTCCTTCCCCCCCCACTTACTCGCGTCAGAGTCGAGCACATGGGCGCACATGCGAGTGGTCTACTCGCAGTGCATGGGCGAGTCGGGCATCACCGTCTCCATTCTGTAGTAGGTTGATTCTGAAATGTCCCAAATCCTCTCTTCCTCTATCCCTGCCCCGCCCCCTTGGCGCGCGTCCCAGAGTTGAACACGGTGCCGTGCACCAAGGCGCACATGCGAGTGGCGTACTCGCAGTGCATGGGCGAGTCGGGCATCACCGTCTCCACCGCCGACGGCGAGAAACCCGCAGCTCAGGTGACTTGGCAGGGGAAACAAAAAGCCGAGCGTGAGAAACCTGTGGGTTTTTCTCTCCCCCGTGCACTGCGAGTGTGAGAAAGCCGTGTCCTGGGTGCGGGGTTGGTTGGCGCTCGCTGCTGCTGAGCACACACAGCACAGGACACCACAGCACAGCACCGCCACCGCATGTATTTGTAACACGAACTGTGCAGTGGACACAGTGCAGGACATGGCATAGGCAATTCGCAGCGCACCACCACGAACAGCACACGCCACACCACATGCAACTTTAGTCATTCTCGTTCTTCTTCCCCCTCTCTCTCCCTCTCTCATCCCTCACCACTATCAGTTTGTCACAATGCTGTCACACCGTCCCTCCCGTCTCACCTTCTGCTGTGACGTCGTCCCCTTCCGCCCTAACCTCTCCCTCCCAACCCCACCCCACCCTCGTCCCCCACCCCCCACCCCCCGGGCCTCCCATCCCTCTCAGGTTATTTATTTCTTCAACAAGTCATGCAACCCTGCCGCCAAGGGCTCAGCCCACCTCCCGCCTATCACCTACATTCCATGCGGTGCGTGCATTCATGCATGCATGTGTGCAACGCCCCCTCCTTCCTTCCTTCCCCGTTGTTGCATTGTAGCCATCTTTGCAGCCCCGTGTATTCGTTCTATGCCTATCCCGCTGCAAAGCAGATGACTTTTGAGTCGACTCAAAAGCCAAACCCCATTCCCAGACCTTGCCTGGTGATAGGGGAATGGGGAGTGCAAGCACCCACGTCTGCCCGTGCCTTGACTGTCTCTCCTCTGCCCCTCTTCTTTGCTCTCCTCTCCCTCCTCCTTACCCTCTCCCCCCGCTGTCTGTCCCTGTGCTGCAGACGCCAAGTGTGGACCGGGGTCGTTCCTGCACGCAGACAAGTGCAAGATATGCACCCCAGGTACACCCCCTGCGCTCCCCATTCCCTGCGCTCCCCATTCCCTGCGCTCCCCATTCCCTGCGCTCCCCATTCCCTGCGCTCCCCATTCCCTGCGCTCCCCATTCCCTGCGCTCCCAATTCCCCGCTCTCCCCATCCCCCGCACTCCCCATTCCCCGCGCTCCCCATTCCCCGCGCTCCCATCCCTTCGCTCCCTATT